TTCTCTTCTCTTCTCTTCCCTCCTTCATTCTGTGGCCAGAAGAACAGTTCCTACCTCTGTTATAAATGCACACACCCATGAATTAGGGGAAAGATGAAACACAGATAAAAGACCTTCAGAAAGAGAGGATCTTTCTCCATAGACAACATTTGTTCTTGGCACGCAGTCCCTACTCTGTAAATGGAAAGAGAAGGCTCCTGATCCAAGGTGCCAAGCAGCCTCTGTGCCACCTGGTTTGATGTGTGTCTCCTGTTGGCTCTTTGGAGAGCAACCAGTGCTTGAGAAGGTTTGGTCTGGTCCTCTGAAGTGGATTGCAGCAGGGGACATGGCACAGCTCTGTGTGACACCCTGTGCTGCTGCCTGCTGATGTGGTGAGGAAGAGCTGTCCCGAAGCACCCAGAGCAGAGCTGGGGGCCAAGGAAGCTCCTCGTGCCCCCTGTCCCCTCAGTCCTGCCTTGAGTGTGATTTTTAATGCACAACCGGAGTTGTAGAAAGGTCACACACACAACTCTTCCCTCTACCAACAGCCACTTCAGCTTCTTGAAATAAAAGATTGCTTTCAAATGGATCTGGGGTTGATGGGGAACCAGTGACAGCCAGAGCAGAGATAGATGGTTGTGAGGATAAAAAGTGAATTTCTGACCTTGTAGGGGTATTACCATCAACTTTACCAAGGTAAAGTGCCAGGTTAGAAGTTTTATAGTCTCCGAAATCTTATTGCAAAAATCAAAGTGCTGAGGTACCCCCACTACTGTTCATAGAAGGAAAGTTCCAGCACAGAGCTGTTGGAGGAACTGGCCATGGAAAAGAAAATATGATCCTTTGACTCAATATTTTCTCTTGCTAAATTTACCCTGTGCAATTTGTGTGCCCGTGTACGCACATTACCCAGAAATTAAAGCAGGAAGGCTTGACTGATACTCCTTCAAGAGAGGAATCATTTACCTGTAATCAGTGTTCTCCCAAAAGAGAAGCACTTTGAGGACAGTTACCATGAGACATGGGGCTTTTTAAGTGAGAAATAGTGGGCTATCAGGGGAGATCTTTAAAATAACAGTCTAGGTAATTACAGACTTGCCACAGCTTTGCTGTATAATGAAGCTTTCATTTGTACTGATTATGGAAGCAAGCATTAAATCACCTCTCCATCAGGAGAAAGCAGTTACAGGAGTTGCCAGAGGAACAAGATTGCTGAAAGAGCCAAGGTTTTGACTTAAAAGAGTAATGACACCATTGCAGCTGCTTTGAAAACGAGCTTGGCTGAAGGAGGAAATACGAAGCTGAAGGGTGTGAGAAACAAATAAAATCAAGCAGCAATTTTACACTCAGAGGAGAATTTGGCAGTGAAGCACAAATTGTGTTTTGCTCTCAGGAAGTTCAGAAGCAGAACAGCCTTCCCCCATCTGTCCTGAGGAGAGAACAAATCCTCTCCCAGAGCAGAGAACAAGTGTTGGTTCTGTGGGACAGGTTCCACAGGGAACTGCTCCAGAACTCCTCAGCTCCTGGCTGCACTGTCGGAGTCAGGCTGGGCCCAGACTCTTTTGGGGATCTGAGCATCTCCAGCACTGACTGCCAGCACCTGAGGGGCTGGGGAGCCCTTGGAGCCCTGAGCTGCTCGAGGGATCGGAGCACCACCAGCTGACTTCATCATTTTCTCTAGAACTCTGACAAAAGGACCAACATTTTGTGTCATCATCTCCTTGGGACAATGAGGTTTTCCCTCCAGATGTTCCCAGCTGGTTGTGTGAGTGGTCCCTGAGTTCAGGAGCAGCTTCCCACCCTGCTCATGCTGAGTTGAGAGAGAAACTTTTATTTTCTTCCTTTCCAAGGGGTGTTTGGGGTGCTGGTGTTGGACCCTTGGGTGCCACAACATTAAGAGGCTTGTGGTGACAAGAACACACTGTCCCTGCCCCCGTCACAGGCTGCCTTTTGATGAATTCATAATTGCCTAATTTAAGTTGAAGGAAGACAGATTGAAAAAGGAAAATCAAACTCTGCAGAAACCAGGCACTTGCAACCCCCACAATCTGGGTGCTCCAAAGAAGGCAAACACAACATGAAAGGCTGAATGAAAAAGGCAACTATGATTCAAAGCTGCTTCTCTGAATCCTACAGCACCTCTAACAAACATTATCACACCTCCCCACTTTCCAGCACCCCAAGAAATTTCCTTTACGCCTTGTTTTTAAGAAGGGTAGTGCAGCACATTAGTGCCCTATCTGGGGAGGGTCAATTTTAGAGCTAAATTGGATTTTTGGAAGTATTTGCAGTGCTGAAGTCAGATCAATTCTTCAGCTTTCACCTGCAGAACCACTTGGCTTCAGGCCATTGTTGATCTTTCACAAGTGACTTGATTTTCCTCTGGAATGAGCATAATCTCTGTAAGGTGGTCTGGAGCCATCATTTTTCTTCTTAACACTGTTTGTAAGTGTGTCAAGCCCCCCACTGTGGAGTTGGGCACCCCACCCTTGTGCCTGCTGCATTCACTGCTGGATTTATGTGTATGTACCCACCTCTGGAGATACTTGTGTGTTTAGAGAGAGACATGGCAAACCAGTGGCAGAGAATGGGACAGGAAGGGCTGGAAAATGTCATTTTAAGGCACACAGACCCTCACAAGTCTGCTGCTCTACAGAAAGGTTCGTCAGACACCTGGGCCTCCCATTAAAAATTGTGTGGATGTCCAGAGTCCATGATCCGGGTTAGTCCATCACTGCTCTGGCTTTTGTAGACTTCATCTATTGAACCTCTAAATTGTGTGAGGAAAACCTTTTTATCACCAGCAAATACTAAAGGTCAGAGCAGGTTTTTCTATTTGCTGATCTGCTCTTTAAGGCTGTTAAGAACCTTTAGCAGTAGATTTGTGAATGACTCATACAGCAGCCAGCAGAACCCTGCACTATTTATTGTGGTTTTATGTCTCCTAAAAACTCATTTTGGCCCCAGGTGCCCCACTCAGGGCTTGTTGGCCCCCTCTTGTGGTAACCCTCACAGGAAAATTTTAAAATTAAAAAAAAAAAAAATTAAAGTAATAAAAATTTAAAGATAAAATAAAAATACTGAAAATTCCTCTAAATGCAAATTTCCCATTTGTTGAGCACTACAGGAAATATCCACTGAGGCATTTTAGGGGAAAACTGCCCTGGCTGTGAATGTTCTGTGCAGTGACAGTCACCTGCTGTCTGGAAGTGCCACTTTGACAGCTTTGGTCAGCACAGGAGAAACTGATTTTCACTCTTTCCTGTGAGGCTCGTTATCAGTGAGGGACAGTGGGGACAGTGCTCTGCTTCCTGCACTTCTCATGTCCAGCTTCAGCCTTTGCCTCCTGGCACCTCGGGAGGAAGTGCCCCCATCTTCTTCCCCAGCCCGAGCTGGGTCATAGAATAAATCCCAAAATCATTGAAAATTCTTCCAGGATCATCAAATCCAAGCTGCACCCAATCCCCACCCTGTCCCCAGCCCAGAGCACTGAGTGCCACTTCCAGCCCTTCCTGGGACACCTCCAGGGATGGGCACCCCAAACCTCCCTGGGCAACCCCTGCCAATGTTTAACCACCCTTTCCATGAGGAAATTCCTCCTGAAATCATGGTGGTTTGAGGCTGAGCAGAAACACAGGAGAGCCTTGGGGCTTCTTTTTAAGTTGAAGCATTTCCTTTGAGGGCAGGGGACCAAGGAGCTCCTCCCCACAGAGCTGCAGGGAGGAGATGCTCCCAGGCCACCCTGAGCCCCAGCCCTTTGTGGGGACTCGGGTCTGGGGGAATTTCCACGGAATTTCTAGAGGCAGATAAAGACTTCACAGAATCCCAGACTGGTTTGAGCTGGAAGGGACCTTAAATCTCATCCCACCCCACCCCTGCCATGGCAGGGACACCTCCCCCTGTCCCAGGCTGCTCCCAGCCCTGTCCAGCCTGGCCTTGGGCACTGCCAGGGATCCAGGGGCAGCCACAGCTGCTCTGGGCACCTGTGCCAGGGCCTCACACCCTCACAGGGGTAAGAGGTATCTGCTTCAATGAGTATTCACTGTTGTGACCCAGGAATTGAAAATGACCCTTTATTCTGTCTCAGCTTGAGAAAGTTTCTTGTAAAATGATTAAGGGAAAGAAGAAATAAATCACTTTCCCTGGCACCTGATTATCATTTTCTCTAATAAAGCAAACTCAAATTATTCTGCTTGCTGAGGAAAGACTGAGCTCCTTCATCACCAGCCCCTAGATCACTCCAGACAGGGAGAAATTTGTTGTCTTGAAATTTTTCTGAGCTGGGACTGTAGAATTTAATCTGTTTGGGCTCCTCCTGTGCGCCTCTTTAGATTCCAAATGACAGCATTACATGCAATATTCTTGCTGCTGGAAAAGAAAGAAATAATACCAGTGATATTTCAAAGGAAGTCCTAAAGGTTTATTTCAGTATCTACTCAATTGTCACTAAAATAAATTGCTTTGGTCTGTGCTGATTTTACTTGCTCAGAGCCTTCCCAGGTGAGAACAAAATGCTTTAGTCCATTTTAATTTAGGTTTTATGCCCTGAGTGCAGAGCAGGCTCTGAGCCACCAGCAAGGCAAACACCTCCCTGGCTGCCTGATTTCATTGAGTGCAATCTCACTGGGGGCAGAGCATTCTTTTTCTGTCACCTAAAACATCCTGAATTCTGCACAGAGAGCAGGAATATTCAGATATTGCATTGAACAGCAACACCTCCCTGTGCCCTGAGTGTGTGTGAGACAACAGCCCAGAGCAGGGGCAAGGGAAGGGGCTGAGAGGTCCTGGCAGAGATTCCTGGGAATGTTTTCAACCCAAACCCTGCTCAGTTTAACATATGTGATGAGATCCATCAGAGTTCCCAAGGGAGGGTGTTGTCTCAGCACCAAAAAGTTTGGAAACATCAATTTTTTCAAATTCCATCTCTGGGTTCTTGTTCTGCTGCCCAGCACCTCCCTGCACAGCTCAGGAATTTCACCTGGAGAAATATTGGCTTAACAGGTGACTCTGGGTGGGAATCCAGGGCTTCCCTCTGGCTTCCCTGGCAGGTCTGGGACCCTGGCAGGGGTCAGGAACCCCCCTGGACAGAGCCCCCAGAGACCCTGGCTGTGATCTCTGCCCATGGAAAAGAGTTTTCAACCTTACAGGATGATTTACAAGCTCTGAGTGTTTGATATAAGCAATAATTAAGTGTGGCATGGGTGCAAAAGTAAAATTTTAGGATTCTAGATGAGGGGTCCAAAGGGGACAAGATGGAGGAAATTGGGTGTGCCTTGTCCTTTTTCTCCTTCTTCATGCCCTCCATGTTTCACTGTGGTGTTGGCATTTTTCTGTTGGTTCAGGCTGGGGACACACTGTCCAACGTAGGTGACAGATATTGGCACGTTCTTGTCAATCCAGCCCAGGGAGTTTCTGGTATTTAATGTTTGTCACATCCCACTGAGGGCAGAGCCCCACACGCTGCCCTGCAGGACAGAGCTGGGCAGGGCAGCAGAACATGTGAGAGATAAACAGAATAAACAACCTGGAAACCAGCACAGACCAATTATGGCTTCTGCTTTGGCAGCGGGGCTGACAGACAGAGACTTTCTACAATCTCAGAATCATCAACACCTCAGATTCCAACAACTCTGCCCCAACTTACACAGGTGTGGGGAGAGAAAATTAACAAATTACAGCTCTCCAAACTCCTGGAGAGTCACAGAATCATTCAAACTGGGAAAGAGCCCAAAGATCTGAGAGTCAAACCATTAACTTGTCACTGCCCAGGCCCCTGGGAGCAGCTCTGCCTCCTCTGCAGGACACAGCATTTGCCATCAGACCATAGCACAGCAACTCTTTGCTGGGAGCAGATGCAGCTCCACACTCCACTGCTGTTCAAAACCTAGCCACGTGGAGCCAAAATCTTATTAAAAACCTTCCTAAACATTTAAGATTAGAACATCAAGCACCACAAACAGATCCAACCTCACACACATGAGGTGTTTGTGCTGTAACACCACTATGGATTAAGCTGTTCCCACCACAGCAGTGCCAAATTTCTCGCAGGAGATATCAGATATTGTCTTAAAGCTGGTGGAGCTTCCCAAATTTCTCCTTCCTGGACATCCTGATGGGTCACTGAGCAGGGAAGTGCTCAGGGCACCGGGTCTGACAGGGCTCAAGGAGCAGCTGGGAGAGGTTTTAGGTTCTCTGGTTTAATTTTAGGTAATGGTTTATGGTTCTGTGGTTTTAGGTAATGGTTCTATGGTTTAATTTAATGTGCCAAGCTGGACCTGGCCTGATTAGCCTGCACAATTAGCCCAGGTAATTTGCATCCAGGTAAGAGGAGGTGGTTCAGCCCAGCCTGAGCAAAGCCCACTCCCTGCCACTGGGATCCCTGTGGGATCACCCAGGGTGGCACTGAAGGGATGTGACACACAGTGAGGATCTATGGCAATAAATCACATGGAACTTCATTTTCTTCATGGTGGAAAAGCCCATTCTTTGTTCACATAACTCCTTTTTATACAGTTTTACAGACCTCGTGTGGGACTCCCATTGGCCAGGAGCTTTCTTAACAATTACTTATTGGTCATTAACAAGTTATTCTGTATTAATTGGTCACTCAAACCCCTGGTGTGTACATGCAGGGACAGTTTGTGAGAGATAGTTTTCATTTTTCTATCTAACAGTGTAAAACAAGTTTATACAGGTGTAAGTTGTTTTTTTTTTACCCAGGAATAGATTGTTATGCTAATGAACTGCTCGCACCAGGGTTGCTTTCACACAGGAATTTGCACAGTGCTGGATTGACTTAGAAGAAATGACAGGCCAGCCAGAGCAGGCCTGATTTTATATGGCTTAAAAATAAATAAAAAAATAAAATAATTTTTCTACCTTATTGCACAAGGAACTCCCAGTGCTCTGCTCAGATGTTGGGAGAGCATTTTGCTCCTTTTTGAGCTGCCAGGAGCTCTGGGATGTGTGTTTGGGTGACAAAGATGTCATCAGAGGAATCCTGCTGCATTTCACCCCTGAAGTTGGTTTTTTGGGAATTTCTCATGTCGTGCTGATTGAGGACAATTTCCTGTGCCATTTTCACCCTTGGTTTTACATCTCAGCAAGAAGTAGAAGTGGGACAGGACATCACTGTCACGCTCAGACCTGTTTGGGGCTTTAATGATCTTTCCCAGGCACTTGGCTCTCCAGGTTGTCCAGTCCCAGTCTGTCCTACTCTCTCCAAGCCTTGCAAGACACAGAGAAGGATTTTTAGGACTTGGGCTTCTGAAACAGCTCCAACAGAAGCCACACATTTTTCTTACTGCACTGAGAGAATCTGGCTGTGTCAGAAATGTCGGTTTTCTATACTAGAAAAAAACCGGAAATGTTTCAGATCCACTGTTGTACCTGAAATGGGTATTTCCTATTTCCAGAATAATCCATCTCTACTCTTTCTTCTCTTTCAGGAAGCTGATCCTGCCATGGAGGGCATCAAAAAACCCATCAGGACAGGTAAGACCCCTAAACAACACAGGCAATTTGTCATATCTGTAATGCAAATATTGCCCAGGGTCACAAATAAGTCAATTGTGCACATCTTAACATTTCCAATAAAGGCTTCTCTTGGTGAAGAGCTAAAGTAGTGGGGAAAAAATGAAAATGAGAAAAAGCTTTCAAATTACTTAGTACATCCAGGAACCAGTGCATGGCTGAGGAAATAATAAATATTTCTGAATGTGCCCTGGAGTGTCTGTTCCAAAGAGATTTTTGCCAGGAGATGTGAACATCATTCTGATTTTAATGTCTTATTTTAAGCGCTGGCTCTTGTAAATGTGTATAAAGTCCTCATCTTCATGAGGGAGGGGTGAAAATGTGTTCCACATGTCCCAAAACAGCTCCTGGTTTGAGGGGAAAAGGGAGAAGGGAGTGGGTGGGTCAATCAGGGACAAGGGGGACCAGCAGCAAAAGGCACAGAGCAAGGAATTGGAACAGGCAGAGTGTGAGCACAGAGAGACTGAAATAAGAAAATCTATCTAAGAGAGACAATTTAGCAAGATTCTGCTTTGCCTTAGCGCGAATCAGGAGCACTGCTCATGTCAGTGACACTGTGACATGAGCCTCACACAGATCTCAGCACCAATATTTGACTCCTTGTAAAACCAAGTTTGTGCCCAGTCCCAGAGGGCAGGAGGTGCCGTTGCCTCCACCCCAGTGAGGAAAGGAAGCCCCGAGTTCATCCAGAGCTGGAGCAGAAGGGGAGATTGGAGGAAATTGGGATGGTTCAGCTGGGGCAGGCTGAGGGCAGAGCTCCCCGGGGCTGCAGCTCCTCCCTGGGGCAGCTCCAGCTCTGCCCTGGGACAGGGACAGGAGCCAGGGCACGGCTGGAGCTGGGCCAGGGCAGCTCAGGCTGGAGAGCAGGAAAGGTTCTTCCCCCAGAGGTGCTGGCACTGCCCAGGCTGCCCAGGGAATGGGCACGGCCCCGAGGCTGCCAGAGCTCCAGGAGCCTTTGGCCAGCGCTGCCAGGGATGCCCAGGGTGGGATTTTGGGGGTCTGGGCAGGGACAGTGGTTGGGCTGGGTGATCCTTGGGGTCCCTTCCAGCTCAGGATATTTTGTGCTTCCATGATTCTAAGTAAGAGGAGCCCAAGTTCTGGAGAGTCCCAATCCCACAATCACCTTTTCTGCAGCTGCATTTTTGCAGTGTTTGGGCCCCCCCACTCCGTTTTGGGTAAATTGGAATCCCTGACTCTCCCGTGCTCCCACAGCTGCCCAGGCAGTCCCTGCGTGTCCCCGTGTCCTCCTGAGAGCTCCCATCTTACCTGACCCTCACTTTTGGGAAGTTCTAACATTCCTATAACCTGGAGGAATTTTCTTTTCCCCATAGGCTCTCCCTAAACACACACACTGCTTTCTTCCCAGCAACCTAAGCATCCCCTTAAATCTTCTTAAGCCTTTCTCAAGCCTTTTTGTGCTTTATTTTGTATCTGAAGAGGCTCAGAAATAGAGCAGGATCTGAAGTGTGGAGCCTTATGATCCACAAAGGAGGAGCCCCAGAGGTTGTACCTGGAGCTCAGCGCTTTCCAAAGCAAAGCACAAGGGGTAGGGGCATTCCCAGGGCAGGGAGAGAGATGTCACCAGTCCAAAAG